TCGCATATGAAAATAACAATTTATGAATATCAATATCAGACACCAAATCAACAAGAAAAAATGCTTTATATACCATGATTGTGTGTTGTGTGCATGCTTAAATTGAGTGACCTGTGGCTAGATCAGAAATATATTTTGCCAAATTTGTTGGGCATCAACTTTAAATTTGTAGGGCAACTCATGTGGGAGAAACATGTTATATAAGTTCTTTATTGGTAGACAGATTTGACACTTAGCAAATATATATTAACAAGTTTAAGTTATATAAGATATAACGAATTATTTTCATCATTAAAAGAGTTTGTTGAAGTAGAGGGTATCTAAAATTTTAAGTTTTTTGAGCTCCTATAATTAATAACTTCAAGTTAATATACGATAATGAATGATTTCATAATTGAATATTTAAAGATAGACTTGTAGTTCCTATAATAACTTCAAGTTGACATGCGGTAACAATTAAAATAATATAAAATGTTTAATACTTGAGCAAAAATTATTAAATTTTGTGAATCCGCATGCAACATGTTGGATCCGCCCAAGGTTTAAGTATTTTAACGTAAAGTAGTCAAGGAAAAAAACTATAAAAACGAAAATATAATTTTATAAATAAATATTGAACTTGAATTTCACAATAAACTTGTATATAAAGAAAAAGAAAAAGAAACAGCTTGATGAAAATGCTATGATAAAACCACAAAATCTCTTGAAGTTTTGAATTTTTATAATAGTTTTAAATTAATATATGATAATAATTAAGTTTATAACTAAATATTTATAGATAATTAAATTTTTCTATTAATAGACTTGTACGTTAATTTTTTTTTAAAAAAGACATTGAGTATTTTAAGGTAGAAGTTTTTTTAAAAAAAGTTATAAAGAAAAAAAGGAAATACATTTTTTTATATGAATATTGAACTTGAAATTTCACAGTAAACTTGTACATATATAAAAGAATAATTAGATGAACATATTATAATAAGACTACAATTCTCTTGATTTTTTTATATTTTTTTTACAAAAATGTTTTAAAGCATTTTATTAAAATTTAATTTTAAGCATCAATTTTACCTACCTTAAATTTGGAGCCTTGCAACTTAAATAGTGGTCCATGCCTAATACCATAAATCACAAATGGGTCATCCTATTAATATTATTTAAATTTTAATATACTGGATAAATTTATAATTTTTCTATATTTAATATAATTTAATCATTGTAACAACAATAAATACTCTCGCCTCGTAAGTAGTAACACTCTCTCTCCTTAAAAAAAAACAAAAAACTAACACATGACTTTCTACGTGAATAAAATATGTCATATTAACAAAAATTAAATAATAAATTATTAATTAAAAAATGAAGATTAAAGTATTACTATTTCAAAAAAAATTAATTATTTTTCTTACCCCACTCCATTGCCTCCCCCCCCCCCAAACCACCCACTCATTCCCAAACAAAATTGATATTATTTTATTTTTAAAAAATAAAAATTATACCCCCACCTTATTTTACCCTTCGCTCTTAATTTATTTATTTATTTTATATTTTTGTCATTTTGTGTTAAATATGTACTTCTATTTTATGGAATTTTTTTCTACCTATGTACTGAATATAACATTAATAAAAGATTTTTTTTTAGAAAGGTCTTGCAGCAGCAAGTAATAAGAAATAATTTCCTAAAAATATGTATATATCTAACACAAAACTAGAAAAAAAATTGGAGTTATCTTTTTTAAAATAAAATAAAATCTAAATTATTATTGGAAGGAGAGGAAATTAAATACTTTTACAAAAGAAATTCAAACGAAAAAGGGGGGGGGGGGGGGGGGGGGGGGGGGGGGGGGGGGGGGGGGGGGGGGGGGGGGGGGGGGGGGGGGGGGGGGGGGGGGTACGGTGAGAGAGAGGAAGTGGTGGAGTGGAATAAGAAAAATATTTTACATTTTATTTAATAAAAAATATTATTTGTTGGGGATAATAATTCTTTAATCTTTAACTTTAACTAATACTAATAATTTATTTAATTTTTGTTAAGGTGAAATATTTTGTCCATGTGGAGTGTGATTTTACAATTTTTTTAAAATAAAAGAGAAAGTGTAGTACACATACCATGAAAAGAGTCTAATAAAATACAGAAATGTGCTTCTCAAACTAATAAGTAATAGTTTAAGTATGAAACTCTCATTCTCAATAATTCAGGTATGAAATTAAAAAAAAAATAAAAAATTTAGGTGTATTTTTAAACACTTATCTCAATACGGAATAATAACTAGGATAGATGAATAACCTAAAGTTACATGAGTTACGAGATATAAAGAAGTGGAACAATGAATGAATGAATTAAAAATAGTGAATAATGGATTTCAATAGAGAAGTAATGGTGATGGTTGACCATTACCAAGATCTGCGATTAAACAAAATGGGCAATTAATGAGCATTGATTCCAATAGTAATTAGGTACACAATGCCTAATGTTCTTATGGAAAATGCAGCACAAAGAATTATAGTTTGGACTTTAATATAATATTAAAAGGAAAATTAAATAATTAAATGACTTAGATAATATAATTTTTAAGAATTTCTATCATTTAAATTAATTATAAAAAATCTCTTTTTTTTCTCTCTTACCATTCGTATACTTCACTCCAGCTCTATCAGATACATTATAACTTTATTTGTGTACAATGTATTTGGTACAAATGTTATTACTGATACATAACTATAATTATTTCAAACCTAAATTGGTATGAATCTAATTTATAATTATGTATATGATACATAACTTATGTATCGTTTGTTATGTCTGGGCGAAGAAATAATGTATTCGCAAGTTCTGAAAAAAATCAAAATTATTATAATTTGAAAAACTTTTGAGATAACATGCAATTAGCGTCCAAATTGTTGCAAATTTTATATGTTATACTTATTAAAATGTTACACTAACAATCGCTCTCACAAAGATGTGGATATTATCAAATCTGGCCTTACACCAACCCTTTTTTTTTTTTTTTTGGGAGTTATTCAGCCAAACCAAGAGGTTAGGAACTTATTAATATCACCATAATTAATATTAGTATCAAAATTATGGCAAAAGAAGGACCACACTTGCTTAACAATTAAAATTTTGCCAAAAAAGTGCAAGGGCTATTATATCTCTTGTTAATAGTTGCTACAACCTAAACATCTTAACTTTGCATTTCTGATAGAATTTGGCAAGAAATTTTAAAAATTTATAATATTTTTTTATTTTAAAATATACTGATTTTTTTTAAAAAATTTAATTAAAAGATATTAAAATTAAAAGGGTAAAAATGTTCAAAAAAATAAAATAACATAGGTAAGATACCATTCTGGCAAACTTTTCTGTCCAAAAGAATTTTTCCTAATTATATTTACTTTCTTCAAGAAAGAGCTAGAAAAACACAAATAAAAGTTGAAAAAGTATTGTATTATAAATAGGGCATATCACAGTATTGTTGAGACATTCGGATCATGAATTTCAGAAACTGAATACAAAAATACAGTGTAAAACGATCTAGTTTTCAATTTTTTTTTTTTATTAAAGGTAGAATCATAAGATTCAAAATAATATATAAGATAATAAATTTTCAATTATATTTTTTATTATCTACCAAACTAGACCAAAAAAAATAATTTACATACTCGAAGTTTTTATTTCTAGAAAGATCCCTAATCCCCATGCTGAGGAGTGCACCTCGCCAAATGATCTTATGGACCACGCATCCCATTTTTTAATCTTCTGAAGATAAAAGTCATTCCCCAGAGATAAGGTTGACACACCCTTTTTGTCTTTTTCTTAATAATAAAGTATTTTATGACTAATTTAATATGTGTGGGTAATCAATTACGACACGTTAATACTTAATAGATTCACTATATATATATGAGTAAATTTTAGGAATAACAAATATAAAAATTATATTATTGTTTTATAGCTATAATTTTGATATTTGTGCTCATATTTACTATGGAGAATTGATTTGTATAGATCACGAACATCTGATTTGTATAAAATCGTAGCAATTTGTAAAAATCAGACGTCTATGTCTAAAAAAATTGTGTTTTTATATGAATATAATAAAGCCATAAAATAATATACAATACGTACTCAACCAGCTCACAACCAAGTTGAGCACCCAATAATCTATTTACAATGTACTCTTTACGTACTTTATTCGTATCAATTTATATGATATATAATTTGCATTGACATAAAATTTAAGAACAAAACTAAAAATATACATACGAGATTTTTTTACAAATTTACCTAAAAGCAGTTCTTTTTAAAGATAATGATACAAAACATACTTGAATTATCCCTTTTTTCGCAAGTTTCATATCCCAGTTATCATCTATTTCCTTTTTCCTATCTAAACTATCATCATCCATGTACTAAAAAGATACACATTAACTATCTGTTGTTCCCTTTTGCTATTCAAAAGATAATGATTAATCCAAATAGTAAATATGAATAACTGATAGTTAAGATGTATTTTATATGATGATAATTAAGAAAAAAAAATGAAACATTAATAACTAAGGTATGATATTGACTTAAAAAACCTCTAATTCAAATATTTTTCGACCATTAACTATTCTTTTAATCTACTTAATTATAGTCTTATAGATTCTCTCTCTACGCACTAGTAAAAGTTTTTATTACCTATAAAGTCACCTTCTTTAAATGTGCCTAAATTTTCTAAAACAAACAATCACACAAGTCGTCACTTTGCATTAAATTTGGCTAGAAGTCTACATCCAATTATTCTATAAATAAAAGATGGCTACCAATTACTTACTACTTTACTTCGGGTAACTATTATCTTAGATTTAAATTTTATTTGTACACGTAGTCAACTTTTTATCACATTTTCGTTTAATAAATAAAGTTATGTTTTCAGAAATATTGCTATTAACAGCTTTCTATACTTAACACTATAAGGTACACAATCTTTACTTATATCATCATGACGTATAAAGGATTCGAAGAAATTAGTTATTTCTATTAACATCTTTACTAATAATTTTGTATTTCGAATTTTTGTGTCGTGCTCACTTTTATGCTAGTGAGGCCATTTAAACACATGATCAATGGAATGATAAGTTTTGTGCAGCCAAATAACATACAGTTTAATGAAGGGATATATAAGTAATAAGAGCTTACTCGGGAAAAGCTGAAGTAGCAACAGAATGCTCCCTGGTTTGATTAAAGTGCAAAATAGTTAGAATGAGAGATCAATGGAGAATTAAAAGCATATGTAGAGAAAAGTTTACTCACAGAGAATCATTAAAGCAACACCTACAAAGACATGAAGAAATCAAATTGTAGTGAGTGAATCCATTGTTTTCCTAATAAAGGAGAAAATCATATATAGTTGAAGTCGTTACTTGTCCTTTCTCTGAATCTCCAATACGGATAAGAGAGCTCAAAGCCATAAAGGATTGCTTGATGAAAATCAGAAAGGGAAATGTTGTTCTCTGCATCTTTAATATTAGGCCATGAGGTAAAGCCTATAAATTCTGCTCTGCATCCATCACTCACTTCAGAGACATTCATTTCTCCAATCTTTAAATAAGTGTATCTGCTTAATTTGCAGCCACTAATATCCACAAATGTCGAAGAATTATTAACAGCAAACGGACAGTTGAACATGAAGATGGGCTCAGCTATTGTTTTATAATATCCATTAGTATACGTATATGATTGAAAGATTCTATTGTATTGGTAGAAATTAAGCTGAGGTCTGAAAGAACATAGATCATCTTGTCCTTGTGTTTGTAAAGTCGGATCAACCAGGTGAATTGTCCGATTATCATAGCTGATGCCTTGAACGTGCAACTTTTTGGAGAATAACCATATAACTGTTTGGTTACCTTCACAAGCTAATTCAAATTCTTGATCTTCTCCGCAATATTCTGGATCGGTGTTTAAACGAAAAGGGTAGCTTATGTTACGGATATCGCCACAAGCAGAAGGAGGACAGTAGTATTTGCTCTTCCGAGCATGGCATGTTTGCAGAAAGATGATTTGAAGGATTAATGTAAAGTATTTAAGCTGAGAGTTTCCTTTAGACATTTGTGTATTACTCAGGTTCAGCTGAGACTTCACAATTATTGTTGAGTAAATGCAATTATTGAAGCTTTGTGGACGAAGGGCCCTCATGAGGAAGACTTTGACGTTTACCAATTTGTTAGTGAGGGTGAGGGAGATGGATATGTCATGTTTCCCCCACATGCCAAACACACCTTTTG